GTGTTAAAAGTGGGGAGGTGTAGGATGTGGTTATGCAGATGAAATGTGTGAGCTCTGACATTGCCTACTACACTTGAACAGAGAAAATGGGCAGTTGGGAGATATCTCCTCCTCCAGGGAATCATTTGCCAGGCAATGTCCAAGAAAAAATGGCTGCAGAACTATTTGTGTGTCTTTACTTTGGGATACCAGGCTTCCATTAGGGCAAAGTGAGAGGAAATGGGAGACAGGTGACTATCCTTTCAAGGGCACAGAGCAAGTTTCTGCTACAGCTACTGTGTACTCTGTCTCCTGGTTCCCCAGTATTGGTTCAAGGCAGGATCTCATCCTGTAAAGACTTAAGAAAACAGCACTCTGCAGGACATCTCAAACTCATGCTGCAGAGAGAAATCCTCAGAGGTTTTGCAGCCATCTGTGGAAGATTCTAAATCCTAATGGCAAGAGGAGAGATGCAGAGAAGTGAGATTTCATATGCTTTTAATTAAGTGCCTGGGATTTGACACTGCAGTTTGGACTGCAGTGCTTCTGAAAACCTTACCCAGAAGGGAAAGCAGGGGAGTAAAGGACACAGCATATTGCTAAGAAGACTGTGCTATAGCTCACAGTATTAAGAAATTAGAACTCACAGTACAAGTGTCATCTGTTTCCATTTTAAATGAGACTTATATTTCACAAAGCAGTATTGTAGAAGAGTAGGGTGAGTTAGTTCATATCCAACGATTTTATGTCTTTTCAGTGGTACCACACTGCTGAATAAATATGTGTGAACAGGGAGGCTCTCAGCTGCCACTTGAACAGGACACACTTGACATTTCCTCAGCATGTTTTATCTGGTCTTGTTTATATGGGGCCAAGTCCCAGGGATTTTCTGCCCCTAACTCTTTAGGGTTAGAATCTCAACCGTGATCAGAAGCAATACCCAAAAACATTATTCCATGGTGGGAGGGTCGCTGCATTTATCCAAGTCAATAAACCTTGTTACCTCAAGGTAGGCAGTCCAGAAGTTGCTACAGAATCAGCCTCATATGTGTTTGCATGGCAATGAAACGTTGCTAAGCAAAGGGCTGTACTGAAATGGGTGCAAGACAGCACTAGAGCAGCCATGGCCTGACTTTCAGTTCTCCTCTGGGATGGGACTCAGTTCAGTGTTTGATAAACTGCCCATGGAGATGTGACCAGGATCTTTTTTGCTTCCTTTCTATAAATGCTTCCATTATAAGAAAACCTTTATAGCATTTTTCCCTTGTCTTAATGTGACCCTTTCATCACGTTCTGATTTCTAAGGGAAGCTTCTGCTTTTAAAGGCAGAGTAATACCATGGCAACAGCTAGATTTTAATTTAACGATTATCCTAAGATCTTATAGCCATTAAAATTAGGATAAATTGGGGCAGAGGGAGTTTTGAAATGTAAAACCTATTTTTGGTTTGAAAAACTTACCCCCTGTGATTCAATACTACAGAGTGGGATTGTTCATTCCTGGGAGCCCAATTTGTTCAGGAGCTCTTAACACAACTATGTTGGCTCACTCAGAAGATCTGTCACTCTTCTAAGTACCTGCCACTTGATCCACAACGACAGGGCTTCTTTTTATTCTGGTCTAGAAATTCCTCAGCAGAAGCCACTTGCTTTGCTATCCCATCTCAGCCCACAAGTGCTCAGAGGTAGAGAGAAAGAAGTGGCCAGTGATTGTCCCAGTAAAGAACAGAAGTGGAAACAAGGAAATGCCATTCTAGCTCTATGGAGTTCAGGATTCCTAAAACCAACGCTGTAAACGTGTTCATGCCATACCCCTTGCTGTAGCGGGTTCCATGGGTAGATCCTAGCACCAGGCAATGCAGCAGTTCACTATTCCCTTTAAAACACTCTCCCACACAAGTTTTTATCCATCCTACATTCATGGAGGTACTGCCCCCTGGAGGAAAAGGTACAGAATAAGCCCACGGCTAGAAAAGAGTAAGGAAAAACGACGCAGAAGTCAGGACTACCTTTTGAATTCCTATGTCCATCTCTGCGAAAGAGTCTGAAATGTTGCCTGCAAACCGCATGGTGTTATACAGCCTCTTCATGCTTACTGCAAAATGCTGGAAGTATGAGCTGATGTCAGCTAGAGAAATATGCTTTTGACAAGTAAATCTTCAAATTACTTCACCCTTTGGGGCTTTTTTGGTTTTTATCAGTTTTTTTTAATGTTTCGAAAAAAGTATTTTTACAAAAAACCCAAACTTTTTAAAAAATTAAACTGTATATATATAAATCATGTACTTGGCATGATTTATATATAAAACTAAAAGTGTAGGTGCAGGTGACATGTTGACAGTAAGCACACGGAAAGAGCCAAGCAAAGTGATACAGAGAGAGGGGAAACACCTTTGGCTACACTCAGTGTCCTGGCAGCCATATGTAGCTTTTCTAATTTAATTTATCTAAGAAGGAAGAAAGATGAACTAGAACAGGAGAAATCATGCAGTACTGGGAAACTGGACCCTCTAAAAGGAATGGATGTGTGCAAGGACATGCAACTATTCATGCCTAAAAAGCAGAAATAGTCTAAAGTAAACGTTTAATTACAAGACCGGTAACAACTGCTCAGAGTGCTCGGAGTGATTACTTCAAAATACAAGTCTGAAATCCCTAGGTGGGCCGCTTTAAGTAGCTGTAGGTGGTGCAAGTTAATTTCAACCCCAACTGGCTGACTCCCAGACATCGACTGGACAATTGCCTTGCCCAGGGAATCAATGCCAGTAGCTGTTTACAGTGTGTACCACAGCACTTGGAGCCAAAACTGAAGGGAAAGTCCATGGACATGTGCAATTACAAAAAAATAATCCCAAATCCACTGGCACTACAGAAAAACCCCTTATCCAGAATATCCTAGGATGTTTTAGCAATCCTACAATGTTGGTGTCTAAACTGAAATAGAAACAAAACATTGAAATTAGAGTAAGTAAACACATGGATGAGAATATTGCTATTTACAGAATAGAGAAGTCAGATCAGAATGTTTTTGAATAATGCATCTTGTCAGGAAGATACATCCTTACAGGCATGCACATGTATGTATTTACACCCACAGAGACATCATAGTGCCACAGATGGGTTCTACCTTGCTGCCTCCTTTTGCTGCCTCTTCCGAGGATATGCCCCTCTGGAAGTTCGTGTCACTGGGAGTTAACCCTTTGCAGCCGGATCAATTTTATTGTAATTTTTACCTCTATTTCGACTATAGACATTTTCCTGAGCAGCCACAGCTCACATAATTTATGAGCTCCTTTGTTAAAAAAATAAAAATTTAAAAAAAAACCCCAAAACTATTTAGTCTAAATAACTCTAGAAAATTTTATAAGTGGGATTGAGCCCCTGTAGCTCTAGGTCTGTGTTTAACCATTACATCCTTGGGTTTAGCTTCTTCTAACAAATTCTAGAAGTGGGATTCAGCCCCTTTATTTCCAGATCTCT